TTATAAAATCCCTAAAATGCCCTTAATTAATAGTTTAAGTTAAAATTACCAAAATTATTAATTTCCTAATTTAACCTTTGATTTGTGGTTGAGATTGGATCTCACGGTTACCACAAACAAAATAGTTCTCATTTGATTAGGCCCCTATATATATATATATATATATATATATATCTGTATAGGGTTGGGTTCACGTGAGACCAATGGTTTTTCGTGAGACCCGTAAGACCAATTTATGTTCATTGATCAACTTTATAAGTTAATGATCTAATGGTCTAAATTGCATGGTGGCAATTTTGTGATTATTGAGAAATCTCGTGGCGTTTATGAATGTTTAGATTTTTCATATTGTAGATCTAATCCAAGGGTTAAAAATTGGTCTTACGGGTCTCACGAAAAACCATTGGTCTCACATGATCCCAAGTCTATATATATATATAGGGTTGGGTTCACGTGAGACCAAAGGTTTTTCGTGAGATCCATAAGACCAATTTATGTTCATTGATCAACTTTATAAGCTAATGATCTAATAGTCTAAAGGTGCACGGTGACAATTTTGTGATTATTGAGAAGTCTCGTGAAAATTTTATAATAATGAATGTTCAGATTGTAGATCTAATCCAAGAGTCGATGATTGATTTTATGGGTCTTACGAAAAACCATTGGTCTCATATGATCCCAAGTCTCTCTCTCTCTCTCTATCTCTCTCTCTCTCTCTCTCTCTCTCTCTATATATATATATATATATATAGGGGAGCATTCAAATAAAAACCACTCAATTTGTAAAACCATGAAAACCTCATTCAACAAATCATAATTTTTCATTTTGTTCATTTTTTTTGTAATTATAAGAGGTTGATTAACCATTTTTATTGTGGAGGGTGTTAATCATGGATATTATCATCTTTATTATTTTAATTTTAGATAAATACATGAAACAATTTCATTAAATATTATATGAAACAATTTCATAACCATATATGAAACAAATTCATCAAAAAAAGTATTATATTAAACAATTTCACAAGATTAAACAATTTAATGAAAAAATTTCATAAGATTAAACAATGAAATCGACGTATGATGGTGGTTTGTACGATTTTTACAAATGAGGGTGATTTTCATTTGATCGCTTATATATATATATATATATATATAGAGAGAGAGAGAGAGAGAGAGAGAGGGAGAGAGAGAGAAAGAAGGTTTACTTTGTAAACCATCCATTTCATACAAATCTTACAAACTAATCGCATCCATCCATTTTTTTTTTTTTGATGAAAGACCAAGATTAGAACAAACTAAATAAGTAAAGTACAAAAAATAAAAGAAAAAAGAGAATTCATATTGGAGACACGGAAGGGAAAAACGGGAAAACCATGTTCTAAAATCTGTTTCATTACAGCTGTTATACATATGAACTTGATGTAATCATATATGACCTATGAACCTATTTATTACAGTTGTTATACATATAAACCTATTTCATTACAAATTGTTATACACACCTATGAATATAAATCTGTTTCATTATAGCTGTTATACATATAAACATGATGCAATCATATATAACCATGTTTCTTTGAACAGTTTGAGCCTGTTTCATTAGAAACTACTTTGTTTCATTGAACAGTTTGAACTTGTTTAATTGGAAATTAGTGACAATTTTTTAAACAAAATTATTCTACATTTTTTAAAATATGGCAAAAAAAAAATTCAAAAAATTTAATGGATACCTCAATTAAAATTTTTGCTAAGATTGTGCTAATCAATATGTCATCCACATTTATATGAATATTATGTTGTTACCAAACTTACCTATTAATATTAAATAATTACCAAACATAACTATTATAATTCAAATGACCATAATACTCTTATAAATTTTTAAAAAAAAGGAAAACAAAAGGATTTATATGATTGGTTGTAATTAATTTGTGAGGTTTGTACAAATTAAAGTGGTTTATATTTGATCGCTCATCTCTCTCTCTCTCTTTCTCTCTCTCTCTCTCTCTCTATATATATATATATATATAACCAGGTTCAAATGTCAATCTTCAAGAAGTTTAAATATCATATAATATTGAAATATCTCGTGTTACCACAAATTGTTTAACTTCTCACATCATCTTTCATATATATATATATTAGATATATGTTCCATGCATGATGCATGCCTTTTATTCCCTTCGCTTTTTCCGTATGTTGTATCCCACATGAACAACACAAAGAGCTGGTAATATTCTTCTCTTGCGCATGATCATATTGTGTTTGAATTTCTTATTATTTTTAATGCTTGAACATGTTCTAAATTAAGAGACTTGAGTAAAGTCAAAGATAGATAGACAAGGTTTTAGTTCTTCACGAAACCATTTGATGGTTAAAATATTTGATACATTTCATTTATTTGAACAAGCGCAAACCAATACCGTAATTAGAATCCTTTGATCATTTAGCAGCCCTAATGCAGGACTGTCTTCGGGGAGGATGCCACAGATACACTATAACAAAATTGGATTTATAGGACGTTCCAATCTCTAAGCGTCCCATTTATAGGACTTAATTTATAGGACCAAAATATAAATCGTCCTATTTAAATGTATTGTAATAAGTTTATACGACGTTTTTAGGTGTCTTAACAAGTTTTTTAGGACATTTTTAATATAAAGTGTCGTATTAGCAACTTTATAGGACACTTTTGAGAAAGTGTCATATAAACTCAATTTTTTATAGRACATTTGTTTTTATAGGACAAATTTTCAAATATTGTCCTATAAAGTTGTTAATGAGACGCTTTATATTAAAAGTTTCCTAAAAAACTTATTACGACGTCAGAAAACGTCATATAAACCCATTACAACACCTTTAGATAGGACGCTTTATTTTTTTGGTCCTATAAACTAAGTCTTATAAAGAGGTCTATTAGGACGCTTAGAAATTGAGAGTGTCCTATAAACCCGATTTTATTGTAGTGGCACTCGTTCACGACCCAATTTTTTTAGCATAAAATAATAGTATATTTAGTACATTAAAGATCTAGACATATTTCTGTAAAGAACTCTTGTATCTAATGTAAATAAGAATGAGTTTTATTTTCCTTATGGTTTATTAGTATTTCTCTTATACAATTTCCTTAATTATAAAAACCATTTATTAAGTATTTTTTTCGTACTTATCGAGGGTCTTTGTTTATATATGCCCAGAGCCTACGGTTTTGCCCTTATGTTTACGGCATATTATTTCCCAAGAACATGTCATAAATTAAGGTAATTAGTTTGTATATATCTCCTTGGACATGTTCAATTAAGTGATTGAATTTTGTTGTAAAAAACCCTAAAAAGTCTTGACTTGGAACCATTTGTTTTTGTGTTGTCCAATGACCTACTACTCTACTAGATAACTACATTAATGCACAAACGATACAGTTTCGTGGTTTTGTGAGCAGCACAAGATTTTCTGTAAAACCATATTCAGCCATCAAGCTATTGTCGTTAAACACATTGGAGACCCGTGATGTTATGATGAACAATAATCTGAATCTGTAATACCTACTTCAGACATTTGGATTCATTCATAATCGTTATAGATCACGAGGATATATGCCGTTAAATACAGTCGTTAGTACGTCATATTTATGCATATATAATGTAAAGTTTTACCAAACCTTGTTTTATATGAAAGCCATCAGCTTAAACTGATACATTAATTAGCTGGAATCTTACTTTAGTTTATAATATGCATGGCATCTGCTTCACGTTGTTCTCTAATTGTCTGCTCTGGGAAATGGGTTAGGTTAATGATTGCAACAAACATGTTCTTGATACAATGTCAACGATTTGTGCCATTCAACATTTTTGTAGCACATGATATGTCCATAGTTAGGGGCAGTCCTATTAAGGGTCGAGCCGGTTCCTCTGAATCCGCTCACTCATTTAACGTAAGAGAAAAAGTATATCCGCTTGATTTTGAAGGGTGCTCTTGAATATCTGGATACCAATTGTTTATAACATATATCAAAGTACACGGCTTAGATGGTTTGATACTTAGATAAAATTGTGGGATACAATAATGCCGTTGCAGATATGGTTTCGCCTCCCAGCACCCACATGCCCTACAAATGTTATTATAATAAGGGTGATGCCTGATTGGTTTGAGCTTGACTCCAAAGTTCAAAAGTACCAGGAGGTCTCAGGTTCAAATCCAATGAGGAATTAGTCGGCTCGCATAGCGGGTTGGATATCCATGTTAATAAAAAAAAAACTAGTAACAATAACAATATAGCTACAAAGATCAAACTCAACCTCATGTATAATTATAGACATAACTTAACACTTGTTTTGTTTATTTTTCTCTCATTTTGATTTTATTACGTTTCTTCATGATTTATTTTCCTTTCCATTGCAAATTCATCTTAAAAGTCGTTTTTATCTCATTTTTTGAAGACAATATATATGTATTTTAAAAGTCAAGATCGATTTCCTTTAAAAAGATGTATTATATTCTCCAAATTGACACAAATAAGTTTTTCTACGTCAAACCACGTCGACTTTCCCACGGTCAAACCACTAGTTTATAAATCGTTGATTTACCTTAAAGGTACACCTGTTCAAAATTTATGGGTCCGCCACGATACACAGTGATGGTTTTAATCTATATTACTCATTGCATGTGGAGCCTAATTTGAACTAGAAACCAAATTCACTACCAAAAATGCTATTTGTTCTCTGTCATTTTTATGTGGTTTTTCTGGGAGCTGTTCTATCTTTGAATTACTTAATGAAGTCAACCCTTTTAGGGTTTTTTTAATGATATGCAAATCATAGCAGTGCATGATACTTAAAGTTTCCAGGTCATTTTAGCCATCAGCGAGTTGGGAAAATGAATTATATATCATTGCATTGCATAGGGTTTCTCTAATCAACTATAAAATGAGCCTTGATCACATTAACATTTCAAATATCCCACAAATAATAAGAACTTGCTGAAATCCTTTCATCTTCAAAATGGCTGGTAGCAAGAACTTATTGGGGATTTTCATGCTTCAAATTATGCTTGTTGGTCTCTTTTCTTCGCATGCCGACGGCCAAGGCTTGAAAGTGGGGTTTTATGAGAAATCATGCCCTCAAGCCGAAGCGATTGTTTCAAAGGTCATAAGTGATGTTATGTCCGTCGCGCCATCTCTTTCTGGCCCTTTGTTGAGGATGCACTTTCACGACTGCTTCATTCGGGTTCGTAATAGCACATCTTATCATAAGATTTTAATTTTCTACTGTATGCATCTTAAAATACATGGATAAATCAGCTTACATAAGGTTTATATGAACCTTGTACTTCTAGGGTTGCGATGGATCAGTTCTTTTGGATTCACCAAATGGGCAATCCGAGAAATTTTCACCTCCAAATCTAAGCTTGCGAGGATTCAACATCATCGATAGGGTGAAGTTGGCATTAGAAAAGGCCTGTCCAGATGTGGTTTCTTGTGCTGACGTTGTAGCGCTAGTTGCCAGAGACGTTACAGTGGCGGTAAATTCTTTTCCTTTCAAAACTACATCTGAAACAAGTTTCATGTGTACAACATGATAATGCCAGAGTTTCATTATCAAAATTTCATTTCTTATTGCAATATTGACTAATTATCGTACTTCTTGTCTGTGTTTTCTCATATTCACAGACCAAGGGACCACATTGGGAGGTCGAAACTGGGCGAAGGGATGGAAACGTATCCCTAATTGGGGATCCCATAAGCCCTGGGACCGGCTTGCCATCATTTTCTGCAAACATCACTGTTTTGAAACAATCGTTTGCACTAAGGGGACTAAGTGCAAAAGACCTTGTTGTTCTATCAGGTACGTCCTTCATATGCCTGCAGATCAAATTTCAAGAAACAATCGTCAACCACTACGACATACAATGGTGTTTTTGACAAATTCATTGATAATCGTAGTCTATGGAATCACCCCCAAAAATGCAGCGTGTAATTTATATATGAATTTTTGATCATTTATAGGAGGACACACCATAGGGATGTCTCATTGCTCATCCTTCGAAAGCCGGCTCTACAACTTCACCGGGAAAGGCGATACAGACCCCACCATGGACCCCAACTACATTGCAAGATTGAAGTTGAAATGCAAGCCACGAGACCAAACCACACTAGCTGAATTGGACCCAGGAAGCTTCAAGACATTTGATGATTCCTACTACAGACTAGTGACTAAGAGGAGGGGGCTTCTTGAATCAGATGCAGCCTTACTTAACGACCCTGAGACTAGAGCTTACTTGGTTCAAGCTATTAGCCATGGTTCCACTTTCTTCAAGGATTTTGGTGTGTCTATGGTTAACATGGGCAGAATTGGGGTTCTTACAGGCTCTCAAGGTGAAGTTAGGAAAGTTTGCACCAAAACTAACTAGTCTCCCTTATCTTTAACCCAAAATAAATACCATCTCTAGCCAAGAGAGATCTTTTTCCTTTTCATTCATGTTATTGTATTCGATTTAATTTTTTTGTGTATCAATTTTTGTATTGTGAAATGTAGTCTTCGTGAAAACTTTAATGTTCATAATATATTTTGTTTGGAAGGGTTGGCTTATGTACTAAATGCTTAATAAGTTCAATAGTCATGTAATTTTAAATCTAAACCAATATTAGAATTTGTAATATATAGTAGTAACATAATAATAGAAGACTAATAAGAGGCAATGAGAAAAGATGTACAAGACTCGATTCTAAATCAAAAAAATAAACCAAGGCTTTCCCAAGTCCCAAGTCCCAACGATTCGAACTAGTCTTAGGGGTTGTTTGGTCGTTACTGAATGATTTGGTGCAGAATGGTAAAATATTAAGAGCCTTTCATGATATAGCACAAAATAAAATATAATTGTTTACAATGAAATTATGGAGCTGAATGGTTAAGAAGACCCAGTATACAAAATCATTCAGAAGGTTTTAAAATCATTAAGAGATAGATTTTTTTTTATCAAACAAGATTTATCTATTAACGGTTCAGAGACTGTCTTTTAACGATTTACTCCTAATTTTTATTTTCTTTCAAACTTTTTGTTGTTCCAATACTTTTGTATTTATTATTAGAATCATATATTTAAATTTCAATTTCAATTTTAAAAAATATTTTAACTTAAAACAAAAATGTTGAATTTTGAAGATAAAACTTTTAATAGTACAAATTTTGAATTTTGAATTAACTATATTTTTTTAAAATAATTCAATCAAATACAAACCATATCAATTAAGTTGTATTACATGAAATTTACTATAAAATAAGGATTTAACAAATGAAAACAATTAAAAAATGTTGATAATTATATTTTAAGGGTGGGATCTTATCATCAATCATACTTCCGATGTTTAAGTTACATTTAATTTAATAGTGTAGAGTCTTTTTTGTAGTAGTTAATGTTATCATATTTTTTACATTAAAAATTATACCGTATTTTAATAATATTATGTTTAGTTTAATAGAAGTAGGTTGTTTTTCTAATAAATTACTGAATAAAAAATTGCTTCATCATATATCAATCAAAAAACAAGTCAACAAAAGCTTGAAGATTTTATATAAGAACATCTACATCCATAGAAGTATATATATCTAGTGGTGTAAATGATATGAGACAACTTATGAGTTATTCGAGATTGATCTGGTTAAAATTCGGTCAACATTCGATTCGAATAGGCTCGGCTCGAACTCGAACTCGACTCGACATATTAACGAGTCGAGTCAAGCTACCCGATGCTCAACTCGAAGAGCTCGTGAGATACTTGATTATTTTATATATCATTAGTTTTAAAATATAATCAATTTTTACAATAAATTTTATAAAAATGTAAATAATAAAAATGTCTTATATTTTTAGATATTTGAACAAAATTATGCATTTTTTAATTATAAAAACTAATCAATTATTTTTTTATTAAAATCACAATTAAAAAAAGAGAAAAACAAAACTATAAAAGTGTTGGTGAAATTGTCTCACATTGGAAGAGATATGGTAAAGGAAGGGAAAACAGATGTTGTAAAAAGAGAGAGGATGAATGAAATTTCTAACTTTGTCTTTTTGATGATGAAGTTTGAAGTGGATCCCTTTAGTTTTATACAAACTAAGAGAATACCTTTAAGTTTTAAAATTTATAGAGAAGACCCTAAATTTTCATAATTTCAATAGGTGAGCTTGGTACGAGCTTGATTTGAATTTGAGTTCAAGCTTGTTTTATGTTGCAGTTATAGCTTGTTTCGAGTTTCAAATGAGTTCGAGTTTGAGTTTAAAAAATTGCAATCGAGTTCGAGTCGAGTTTAGTTTTTAACTGCTCATGAGCTTTCGAGTCGAATTCGAGCTCGAGTTTGAGTTTAGAAAATTGCAATCGAGTTTGAGTCGAGTTTAAATTTTAACGGCTCGTGAGCTTTCGAGTCGAGTTCGAACTTGAGAAATACCTATCGAGTTCGAGTCGAGTATATTAATACTCGAATTCGACTCGAATCATTACACCCCTAAGTATATCATGCTTTCCATTATGTCTAATTACCTTTTACAATTATTATTTTTATATGTCTATTTCATTTACATTTTAAAAGTGGTCCCACTACAACATTTATTAATTATTATATATATTCTAATTATCTTTTAATAAATACATGATATATAATTGTTTATTTTTATTCAATCTTTTAATAAATACACGGTATAATAATATATTATAATTATTTTTTTAGTTAATAAATACATGATATATAATTCTATACTTTAGTTTAATGTTAATTAAAATATTTCAAAGAAACGATTAATATATGTCGTAAATAATATAATATAATAATTTTACTTATTTTATAATTCATTGTATTGATTTAGTATATACTTAATTAAATTATATAAAAACACAACATTTATCGAATTAAAAAGATTACATATAGATAAAAAGAAAATATTACATTAATCATCGTTTTCTTCTCCTTTAAATCGGCTCCAAATATCTTCAACCAAACCTGCTTACATTTGATGTAATTTTATTTGTGTTGTTTTATTAATCGTACGTATTAGATTATTTTATATATAATTTTATAGATTTTATTATAATTAATTTTATCAATATTACATGTTTTAATATGTATAATTTTAGTTGTAGGTAATTATAAAATTTATTGTTTAAACTAGTTTGATTATTTTATATATAATTTTATAGATTTTATTATAATTAATTTTATCAATATTATATGTTTTAATATGTATAATTGTAGTTGTAGGTAATTATAAAATTTAAGGTTTAAATTAAGTTAACTATATTGTATTTATATTTTATCTAGAAAATTATATATATATATATATATATATATATATATATAGACTTGGGATCACGTGAGAGCAGGCTGTTTTCGTGAGACCCGTGCGACCAGTTTTTTACACTTGAAACTTCACAGCAAAATGTTGTGAAGGTAACCTTCACAATGTTTTTACTGTGAAGGTTCGGCTTTTTTAAACCTTCACAGTGTTTTTGATGTGAAGTTTTAAGTGTAAAAATGCGGTCTCACGGGTCTCACGAAACAACCTGGTCTCACGTGAACCCAACCCTATATATATATATATATATATATATATATATGTATTACACATAAATATTTTTTAAATAAGAATGAATAATTTAATTAAAAAATAAATTAACATTATTAATACATAAAATATATTATTTTATAAAAATTTAGTTTCTTTAAATAATTAAAATTTTTGAAAAAGTGGGAATGTCATTTAGACAACAAATGAAAAATGTTGCCTAAGAGGGGTTTATATGCTGCGTAAAGCGTAGGCAACAAACCAATGTTGCTTAAGCAATGTTGTCTTCTCAATGTTGTATTAGAACCAAGGCAACATATCACTACAACAAAATTAGGTTTATATGATACCTCCAATCTCTAAGCGTCCCAATAGACCGCTTCATAAAACTTAATTTATATAACCAAATTATAAAACATACTATCTAAAGGTGTTGTAATAAGTTTATGACGCTTTTGGAGATCTTAACAAGTTTTTAGAACATTTTTAATACAAAGTGTCGCATTAGCAACTTTATAGAACATTTTTTAGAAAGTGTCCTATAAACTCAATTTTTTATAGCACATTTGTTTTTATAGGACAGTTTTTCAAATAGTGTCCTATAAAGTTGCTAATGGGACGCTTTGTATTAAAAATGTCCAAAAAAATTATTACGACGTCAAAAAACGTCATATAAACTTATTACTACGTCTTTAGATAGGACGCTTTATTTTTTTGGTCTCATAAACTAAGTCTTATAAAGCAGTCGATTAAGACGCTTAGAAATTAGGAGTATCCTATAAACCCGATTTTGTTACAGTGTACACAAACAACATATGTTGTCTAAGCGGACTTATTAGGTAACACGCAAATGGTTATGTTGCCACTGTAAAAAACATATGTTGTATCATACAAACTCTAAGGCAACATTTGATTTATGCATATGTTCCGTAAGGTAACATCTTAGACAACATATTGTATTTGCATATGTTGCCTAAAATATCAGCTTAAACTACATAATTTATCTGCATATGTTGCCTTAAATATCAGCTTAGACAACATACTTTATTTAGATATGTTGCATTTGAACTATAATTAAAATAATATAATATTTCTTTTAGGCAACATTTATATTGTTTAATTGGTGCCTAAGATTTTTGTGCACCATGATGCAGTTTTTTTTCTTGCATACTTTCTACAAACGAATCTTATAAACAAGCAAACAAACATGTTTTCTACAACAAATCCCACAAACAAGCAAACAAATGTTTTATACAAACAACTTTTATAACCAAACAAACTTAATAAATTTCAATAATTGAAAGATAAATTTTCTAAATAATTCTAAAAGTAGGCAACAAGTTCAATAACACAAAATTAAAAACTTAACCTAAAGCGTGAGAGGTCGGGGTTGTTGAGTTAGAGTTTGAATCACTAGCACCCAACATAATGATCAACGATTGTATGATATTTCTTTGCTCGGCGGTTTCCTTTTTTGTCTCATTTTGTCCCTCTTTTAGCAAGCGAATCTCCTTGTCGAGCTCGGCAAGTTATTGCCACAAATCTTCCTTATCAACTAAAGATATCGGTTTAGAGAATCCCTTCGCCGATCCTCTCATCATCGCAGGTCGAACCACCAAGTACCTATACTCGAACAACCGTTCCTACAGGCAGACCAAAAATTTGCTAGATGATTGATATTTTTTTTCCGATTGGGCAATGAATTGGAGGCCCGACAGATTCTGGAGTGCCATCAGAAACGTTCTTAATCTTCTCAATCTCTTTCTCAACAAGTTTCTGTAAATATGATTCAAATAATTGTTTTAATTACAATTATATATTTCCCGTCAATCATCCCTCATTAATAAGTTAAAATGGTAAAAACGAACTACATTAATGTGTTTTTATATTTTTAAAGGTTTGGAAAAGTTGGAACGAAAAAGGGATAAAAGAATAATTTTGGCAGCTTTGTGAGACTATGGTATGTCGAGCATATCTCACTCGTCCAAGAACGGATTTAAGTGATTAAATATGATCTG